GATTCCAGTATTTGGTGACTGGAGCATGTCTGCTGAGGGCTTTGAAAGGAGCCTGGCACAGCTGGGGACCACAGCCCCAGATATGGTAGGAGAACCCTAGGACTCTCCTCCACTGCACAAGAGCAGGGCCTGGGGCTGAGGGAAAAGACCCTCCCTGGGGCCCAGTCTCCAGGGCCTTCCTGTCTGGCCCCAGCCTCTTAGCCTCTTCTCACCTCCCAGTTCCGGTCCTGCGCTGTACACCCTGGTTCCATGGACCTTTATGTATGGCACCTTCAAGCCTCTGCTCCTATTCCCTTGGCCAGGACAGCCCCTCCTCTCCTTCCTGTGTGAGTTTTATCTCCACTTTTCCTGAGCATCCTCTGTGTTGCCCTTACCTGGGCTGCCTCAGCAATCTGCCTGCAGTTTTTTTAGGGCCTGACCCCTTCTGTCCTGAGTGATCCCTCCCTTGGGATACAGCCCCCCATCCGTAGCAACCATAGCAACCGGGGCTGAGAGCACCTGTTGACTAAGGCTGACGCCTGAGACAGAGGAAGGGGAGAGAGGTTGGGACAGAGTGTTATGTGGGAGAGTTGATGTGGCTGAGTCGAGTCTCAACCCCCCCAGGCTGGTGACCAGCTGGATTTCTGCAGAGGGCCCTGGTCCCCACCCTCCTGGCATGGCTGAGCTGTTCCAGCAGTCTGGGGCGGCTGCAGGAGATACAGACCAGATTTGTTCTCTACTCACCCCCAACTCATTCTTTTCTTTGCTAGCAAAGAGTTGAAATTCATAAGCTGCGTCAAGGTGAGAATTTAATCCTGGGCTTCAGCATTGGAGGTGGAATTGACCAGGATCCCTCCCAGAATCCTTTCTCAGAAGACAAGACGGATAAGGTGAGGACCAGAGTCCTGGGGCCTCTCCGTGCAGCAGAGGCCTGAGATGGTGGGTCTCTGCTTCCCGGGCCTTTGTGGAAGGAGCAGACCTAGTCTCTCGCCAGCAGTCCCCTCTAAGAAGGTCTAAGAAATGATCTGGTGGGAATAAATAGGGGTGGGGGTAAGGAGTGGGCTGCCCAGCCGGAGGAAGGCCCGTTTACACAGAGCCCAGGAGCAGCAGGGGCTGGAGCATCCCTGGGGCAGCCAGCTGTCCCCTTGGCTGTCTTGGTACAGCCTGTGCCTGGGGGTGGGGGCTGGAGGGAGGCTCAGTGCAGGGATAGACAGATGGACAGCTGGGCGTATGCCTACTGGACTTTGCTCTGTGGATAAGGGGCCAGTCCAGTGAACCCAGGGCTTGACGTGGGCTGTCTGTTTCCAGGGCATTTATGTCACACGGGTATCGGAAGGAGGCCCTGCTGAAATTGCTGGGCTACAGATTGGAGACAAGATCATGCAGGTAACAGAAGAGCCAAAGGAGGAAAACAAGGCTTGGGTTGGAGGGGCTGAAGCATGTGGGAGTGGGGCTGAGGCTGCCCCTGCCTCCTGGGAGACTCACCCCAGCCATTTTGGAGCCCATGCTGGCCTTGCCCCAGAGGAAGCTGGCTCTCTTCTGTGTGTGGCAACTGGTGCTTGGCATCCCCTATCCAGGGGTCATCCGCCTGGGGCCTGCTTGGGTAACCCAGGCTCCCCAGAGCCCAACCTACTTCCAGATCCCAGAGGGTGGGGAGCTGAGGTGGCTGTATTTTCTCCCTGGGTCAGGTGAACGGCTGGGACATGACCATGGTCACACACGACCAGGCCCGGAAGCGGCTCACCAAGCGCTCGGAGGAGGTGGTGCGCCTGCTGGTGACGCGGCAGTCACTGCAGAAGGCCGTGCAGCAGTCCATGCTGTCCTAGCAGCCCGCCGAGGTCCCGACATGCCTGCCGCCTCCTTGTACAGTGACACTACTTCCTCAGTCTGCCCCTCGTCCTGGCTCCTGCTGAGTGCTGGGCCCCACTCAGAAGGGCAAGAGCTGGTCCCAGAGGCCTGACTGGCCTGCCTTCCCCTCACCAGTGGCCTGAGGCTCTGGGACCAACCCTCCCTT